TTTCATTTTCTAATAAGACAAATAGATTAGATTAACAAACGTGTTTGTTTTTAATTGTTTACCGTCAATTGCTAATTGTAAATCCTATCAGGTGCCGCATACATTGCTTACTATATCACACCCGTTACAAATAAATAATTTATTTAGAAATGGACTTTCGTAATCGCGGAACTGCTATCCTTGGCCTTGATAGGATTCTGAGAGCACCATACACATAAGTTTAACTTAAAATAAATCCACAGAAACATAAAAAGTTGTCCCCGAGACAAGTCACTCTCGCTTCTCAATACAGTTTATAATAACTACTCCACAATTTAAGTATGTATTGTTGTTTGTCTGATTTGCTCTTTCTGCCATACGATATTTAGTATGTTTTTCGGAATCAAACACAATTCTAGTTAGAAATACTCTATTTGGCGTTTCGACTTCCAGTTCGAAATCGTTTTCAAAATACAAACAAACTTTTTCGTTTTGTTTTTGTCTATTTCAAACAAAATTCTTCTAGTAGTTTCATTTGATCTACCTCATCCGTAAAAAAAAATCAGTCTGGCTACATACATTTTTAAGTACAAGCCAGTACTTTATTGAAGGATAGTCCATTTGATTACATGAAATCAATTTTAACTGAAGAATACCTGCTAGGCAAATAATGATAGCATGTGGTTCGTAATCCGAAACTCATTATGGGAGGTATAAATGGACACAATACTAACTGGGTTTCCTTTAAAATTACACCTACTGGAAAAAAATGGAAAACATCCTGAACACATTAATCTTGCAATAATAAATGATGGTGGTAGTACCTACACACTTAAACTCATCGACACGGACATTTTCTTCTATAGATATCTCAATTTGTATCACTCTGGAAAATGTAATACGTATGTCAAAAATCACAACCATTGGTTCAGTATATAATAAATCAGTGCAAATCCTTGCCTTTGCTGATGGGAGAACGGAAAACGCTGTAAGAGAGGCGTATGTAGCATTAAAAGAATCGGCTACAAAAATGGGTTTAATAACAAACACCAACAAAACGAAGTATGCGAAAATAAGCACGCAACTACAAAGCCTACGCCAACTTGTTATAGAAAACGACGTCATCGAAGCAGTGAACGAATTTGTACACCTAGGAGCGCTCCTTAAGACAGAAATTAATACTACCTTAGAGATAAACCGCAGAATTTGCACGGCTAACAGATGCTTTTGGGGCTCAATCTCCTCCTTAAATCCACAATTATTATATCGAGAAATACAAAAATAAAATTCTGCAAAACAATAATACGCCCAGTTCTAATATATGGTTCAGAGAAACTGGACTCTAGCAAAAAGTAATAAATACATGTTAGGATGTTTCGAAAAAAGAGTACTAAAGCAAATCTATGGAGCAGTGAATGGCAATTGAGTGTGGAAAAGACGTCACAATTGACGTCACAAAAAGATTTATGAGGTAGTGAACACTCCAAGAAAAACATTCCATGAAACCTACGCCAGTTAAACCTGATCCAAAATGGAGACTTGATAAAGCTGATTGGTGTACTTTTCAAGAAATTATCCGTAGCAATTCATCAAAGATTTGCTTAGACCTTTCACAGATTCACACCTACCTAGTGAACTGCCCGTTACACAGTGTGGAAAGATGTGAATTCGGGAGTCCCGAAGAATTTAAAATGACTATTCTTACAATTAACTATTTATACAAAATTTGATTGATGACTGTTAATCATTTTCTTTTTCGCTAATAGCCATACAGGCTGATGCGAGTTTGTAAATAAAAAAATGATAGCATGTCATTGCTCTTTAATAATAAACATAATAAACCATATCCAATTGTAACAGTAAAATTCTGTTATTAGTAAACGCATTGTAAATCAGGACAAAAAAAACAGTAAAAACAAATGATATCCTGACAATCGATCTAACTATTTACTTTACTGTTAACACCAATTTTGATATTGTTATAGAACTAATTGTTCACTAGTTAAAAATCGGTTCTTTGTGTGTTTAGAAAGGATTATTACAAAAAATACTTTTGATGGACGAGAATAAAAGAAGTCTCTTGATGCAAATCGCGATACTGTAGCGTACGACATGATCTTCCACCTTGTAGGAAAATCGACAAGGATTCTGTTTTTACAGACCTGCTACATTTTCGAGTTGATTCGGGAGATGAGATTCTGAAGAATCATTTGGAATCAGGAGCAAAAAATTCTTTATACATATCTCATCAAATTCAAAAGGAGTTGAGTGAAATTTTATTCCGATGTTCTTAAGAGTAAAATCTTGAGGTGCTGAAAGATACTTCGACTTTAGCTGATGATATTACTGGTATTAGTGGCACAGAACAATTATCAATAATTGGTGCTTGATATCCACGTTTTGGAAACTATTATTCGCTTTCTGTAAGATTGCGATCTTGAGTTAAATAAACTTGTAGGCTAAGGATACGACTGGTGTGTTGCAGTGACAGGTCACGTTCAGAAAATTATTAACGATGAATGCATTTTAGCCCTATGTTTGCACTGTGCAAACTAGGTATTAATAAACGTAACACAAGATGCGGAGAAGATCGGAGTCGGCAACTAGAAAATGCAAGCAAGGGACAGAACAGAATGGCGTAGAAAGCTTGAGAAGGTCGAGGGCTGTAGCACCAAGATGATGATGAATGCATTGATTAGTGATCAGTGTAGTAGTATCTGGGGGCTCGAGAGACTAATCACTCTTGTAGTGATATTTTCTTAAGTTAATATGCTCCTTTTCTAACTTGGCTGCACCGTACTGAAGACGACCAATAGTCAGAAATTACTTGTGAATTTACCTTTTTTTTGAGGTTATCCAATTAAACTACGAATTATTATCCTAGCGATGTACTATTTTAATGCAACAGTCAAGTTGTGATATACTATTATCTTTATTTAACTTACCTGTCAAATTTAAGTTGTTAAAATGAATAACAATTCACAAAAAAAAAACAACGAAATAACGTAAAGTGACCAATACGTTTGCCCGAACGGTACAGGAGCTAAACAAATACTGGTCGAAATTACAATCAGTTCTTCTGTAATTTATAAATAACAACTATCTGGTTTATTTTTCAACCACTATGCCTCTATAACCACTTTTTTGTGTTAAACGCATAATATTTGTTGCGTTCTGCACATACGATGACAACAGACAGATGAACAATTGGGATCATCAGACAGAGAAGAGAAGATATTCTGTTCAATCCAGAACTCGCTGATTTCTCCCTTTCATAAGGTGAATAATTTCCTCTGGAAATAAATTTTGAATATCCAACTGATTATCTTGATTTGTAATAACGGATGGCAACGATTCCAATATACGAGGAAAGGAGAGACCTTTAAATCTTGAACAATAAGCAATTCAGCTTGCTTTTTATGAACGTTTCTGATGAAACAAAACACAAATGTTTTTACTCGGCGTAAACGAGAAATATAGGAGTACATTTTAAACATATGTACCCCGAATGCTGAATCTAGAGATGGGTGTAATGCCACTCTAGTAGAATCTTTTGATCCAATTATGGTCGCAATATCTAAGTTATTAGATTCTATAAAATTGGACGTTAAAAGCGCAAATAGTTCAGAAGCTTGAAGCCTTTGAACTTTGGATATACCTGAGAATGTTGAGAATTCCATGGACTGCCAGGGTCACCAATGAGGAAGTGCTGAGAAGGATGGGTAGAGACAAAAAATTGTTGAGAATAATAAAAGTACGCAAGACTGCATACCTTGGACACATACTGAGGAATGATACATATAGTCTTCTGCAGGTCATGATGCAGGGTAGAGTCGATGGCAAAAAGGGAATAGGTGGAAAAAGGAAGTCATGGCTGCGAAATATTCGAGACTGGACAAACATGACTGTAGATGAATTATTTCACGTTGCAAAAGACAGAGAAACTTTTAGAAATGTGGTCGCCAACCTCTGTTAATGGGGACGGCATATGAAGAAGAAGAAAATTATCTCTGTCGCGAGACGATAAGAATTTTGGCTCACAATGCCAAGATTTCGATCGAGCAAATGTATCGGGGTTAGCTCCCCGCGAAGCTGTATCGGCAGCGTCATCATCAGACACTCCATCATGGAAATTATACAGAGAAAAATCTTTGGGCAAGGATTGAATATTCGAATGGACCTGGGGCCCAAAGAGGTGTACATCATTAAAGTATATCCCCGTAGAAAAACTCGCGCTTGTATGAGTCACCAGTCTTGTAGGGCTCATCATTTGCCACTTGAACAGGTGGACGGAAATATGCAATACTGCTAAGGTCAGTAGGTAACGCCTTAGGGACAGTATCACCACTAACTGTTAAGGACGCATTTTAATTTCTGACTGATTGAAATATTGACCAGTACCCTATAAAGGGTTAAATAAAATCTCAAAGGTAACTTGCTTCTCTTTGGAATTTGTAAAAACTATAAAATATGCTAGTTTCAGATTAATTTGGAGATAATAAATGCACAATTAGATTGAACATGTAGCATATTTATTAACAGGTAAGATCACAGATCTAATGTATTCATAAATTTATAGTATTCTAGGTCCAATTGACATTTCCCAATTTTTAATTAAAAATATTAATTAAGTACTTCCTGAATTATAGACCTGTTAAAAGCATCTTAGAACACCCTGTATACATACCTATATACAAATATAAATACATATACACATACATAAAAACATACATACATATGTGGAACTACCTGAATTTGTACTTCAGCCAAAAAGAATTTAACTACAATGTAGAATAATTTTTAAAATAAGTAAAATGGGCATTTTTACTGAAAATACTAAATAATTCTATACCGAGAGTAGCAAAATGCTTATAATCCGAACTTTAATTGTAAATATTTATTTTTATTTGTGTCAACATCAAACTACTTGCAACCCTCGTAATGTACTTGTTTGTATGATATAGTACGAGAATATATCCAATTCTCTTGTCTATTTTAAAGGAATGTTTATTTATTTTCAGGTTGTAGTAGAGTCGTCAACCTCCGCTCTAGAATATGGAGATCTGACTGTTGAAGAAGGGTCTTCAGTAAATCCGGATTTGCACTTTGATTCCCAGTCTATGCATCTCTATGCCATGACGGAGAAAAAGGTAATACGATTTATTTAAAATACATTAAAGGTTTCCATATAAAACGAACTATATTATCTGCCAGAAATTACTTTCATGTACTCTGTAACCGGGTATCGAAAACTCGTCGGCTTACGTGTAGCTCTCGATATAGAAGACAAAATCCTTATAATTCCAGTATGTGTTCTTTATAGTTTTATCTGAGATTATTTTTTTTTTGTTATCGACAAAAAACTAATTAAAGTTTGATATTCGTTTTACTTAAAAATATAATTTGTTCTAAAACATTGTTCTAAAACAATTTAGGTTTCTTGTACGAGAGCAAGGCAAAAGTTTTCGGTTCCAACCCGTAGTTAGTGTTACTTTAACTGATATTGTTGATTTGTTAAATTCCCGCATTTATTAAAAAGCAACTACCCAGATCAAATACTGACATCCTAAGCCAGGGCGTACGAGTTCGATTCTCGGCACCAACAACGACATTTTCATTTCTAAAAATGATACGAGTCTTTCACCGTGCTTCAGAGGGCACGTAAAGCCGTCGGTCCTCATAGGCTAGTGTGCATTGACACTTCCGAAAGGACCTCCCTGGCAAAAATGCCATACTAGACCAATCAAGTTCGTAATAAATAAACCTTTTTTCGTTTTCGTGAACTTTTTTATTATTTATTAAAATATGTTTGAATGTACCTTACCTTGTGAGTCGTATCGTGTTTGAACGTGTGCAAAAGATGGGTCAGATCGATTTAATAGTTTTTGACAAATTTTAACTCACAAGTTCAGATTCTTCAGTGTTTAAGTTTTACATGGATTCTGGCAAGATCATCATCATCATCATCAACCTGTATGCGTCCACTGCTGGACCTAGGTCTTTCACAGTTCTTTCCATCTGTCTCTCTGACTGTCTGTCTCTCTTCTTTTGTGCGGCTTGCATCCAGTTATTGCTAATACTCATGGGCTTTACTCAGGTCGCCAGTCCATCTAGTTGGTGCTGCGTATTGCTTCTTGCCTTGGTCTCCACTCTAAAATTCGTTTTGTCCATCGGTTATCTGATAATCTGGCGACATGTCGTGCTCAACATAGCCATCTTGAGTCACGCGTATCTTATTAACTACCTTTTCTGTGGGTGTTAATATTTCCGCTCCGTAAGTAAGTACAGGTAACACACATTGGTCAAAGATTTTCCTTTTGAGGCATATGGGTAGGTCCGATTTAAATAGATAGTTTAATTTACCAAACGCTGCGCAGGTTAATTCTATGCGACGTAGGAGCTCACATGTCTGGTTATATCTGCCCAACCAGAATTTCATGTCCTAGGTTCTTATACGATGTAGTTTGCACACTATCCTTTCTATCAACAGCAATATTTCGATTTAGCACCAGATTAGTCATTATTTGCGTCTTGTTCATAATAATCTTTAGTCCGACCTCCAAGGAAGCGTGATATAATTTTTTCAAACATAATTATTGCATCATCCAATCGATCGGCTATAAGGAGGATGTGATCTGCAAATCTCAAATGACTGAGCTTCTCTCCATTTATGTTGATACCCACCGAAATCGCCATGTAATAAATAATATGAATAGATTTCAAATTAATATATCTGGCAGGAAGGTGTACCCATACCCTATCTAAGATGTCACAATTTTCCAGGTTTCAACTCGTGGAAGAAATAGAAATGCAGAAAAGAACGTACCGTTCAATTGCCATCTTCAAAGAGAGCCAGGCAGCGCTTAAGGCACTGAACTCTGTAGAGGTCACTTCTAAGCTAGTATGTGATTGTGTGGGTGCCCTAAATAAACAAAAAGATCTTAGCAAGATCATAAAGGCAATGAAAAAGTAGATGAAATGGCCAACCAAGGCTCATCAATGCCATTCGTTGGACCGGAACCCATCTGCGGCATTGCATAGGTAGTAACAAGAACAGCTACAAGAAAGTGGGTAACACACAAAACTCTGAAATGGTGGAAGGAATTCACCAGGACAGTGACAGGCGAAACAGTTAATTCAGTTTTGCATTCTAGTCCGATATTGTTCTTTTGGCTGTGCTTCTTGGTATTCCAGCGAAAGGTTCTGGGCCTAAGAATGTTTCGATTGCCCCTCCCCTGGCAAGTAGTTCCTTTTTTTTTCCTTCAATACGAGTATGTTCAGGCACCCAGAGTAAATGTACTTTTTCCGATTTGAATCAGATTCTGCAGACTGCGATACAAATAGCATCAGCGGGGTACAGGTCCTAACCTTTTGTATTACGAACGTCCGTCCTTTATCCCCCGGGATGGAAAGGTGAGTGCGGGTAGAGGAACTGGACCTCGCACGTAGACAGGTAGCCGCCGAGGAGCTCTCCTGTACCACTTTTAGATCTCCAATAGTGGGTACGTGCCGCAATCCTACGCCCTTAATGGGGAAATGACGTATAAAGGTCGCATCTTGTTCAATCTCACTTTGGTTATGTAAACGACGGCTCTATATATCTCATTCCTTTCTATTGGTAGCCTCTTACGACCGGCTGGGATATTTGGCCCTGGTAGTATTCTTATCTCCACTAGCCGGACGGAGATTCTACAGACAGTTTCAAACTAACGTATGAGTCAATTCAATTCGAATATATATTTTTTATAGGTTTGTCCTTGCAGCTCCTCTTTATTAGTTCCTGCAGGCACATATCTATAGTATAAATTTTCGCTTGGAAGATTATAGGTTGATTACCTAGGCTTTCACTAAGGCTTAGCCTTAGTTTTCTTAGTATACTCCAGCTCAAATTCATTCATCTGTTTTAGACCCCTCTGAAAAGACGATGGCAAACGGTTTTTCGAAATTAGATTTAGGCTGCATTGCATCTGGTACCATTTCCAACTATGGATGATTTTTTATTATCTCTCCAGATTTGGTCCCGGTACCCTTTCGCCCTGCCTCTTGGCTTCTTATCTGTCTTCTTATTTTTTGTACCTTGGTCTCCTCTAACCGTATATGCAGTGGGGGGAGGTCAATTATGACCTCCATTGAGGCAGCTGGGGTAGTATACAGCCAAGTACGTCTCTTTGGATTCCATACCCCATGATTTTCCATATATCCTTCGACATATCCAAATGGAAGGCTTTGTTTTGTTGGAGATTCTCTCCAGTTCCATGTAAGCCACATATCATAACTCCTAGATATTTGATCTCATTCGACTCTGTGACAGTTTGTCTATACTGAGCGGGTATCCAGAAGTTATCTCGGTTCCGTCTTGTTGTGGGTCTGTTAATATGTCTGATTGCGCCTGATAGAAAAACGGACAAAACTTCTACAATCATGGTCAGTTATTACTATTTTTAATATTAGACAAACCCTTATTGTTGCTTTCTGCACATACGATGACCTCTATATAACATATAAGGCCATCGGGAAAGAGGAACAATATCTATGTTCAATCTAAGAACTCGCTGGTTGCTCCCTCTCGTCTTGGGTATGTATATTATCATAGAAAAATAAAAGCAAGAGGACTATATGAAACTCTGTTTAAAAATAAGTTAAAGTACAGCAACCACAAAACTATTGCGAGGTATCGAACGTTACCCCTTAACTGAAACGCGTGACTGTGTAGTTTGGCAGATGGAACTCGTCTCCCTGGCAAAGGCGGCAATATATACACCTCTATTAATCCCATTTATGATCTAAGAATTTCATTTATTTGCAGGTATCGAAAGTCAAAGTGCAAGAATGCACGGTTTACCGCAACTGCTTAGAGTGTTTAGGAGTAAAAGATCCATATTGCGGATGGTGTTCTTTAGAAAATAAGTAAGTAGATATTATTTCATTTATTAGTTTAGTTCTTATTGTATCCTTTTTTATTAAAACGATTTGCACCTTGGAGATCTATTGATTAATATGTAAAAACGTATTCTTTCAAACTGTTTTAACGTCACCTTTCATTTTAACTTGTTTATTTTTCTGGAAAATTCCGGAAGAACTACTTAATTTATCGGATTCATAAAAATTCTCATTAATGATTTCTTTTATTTTTTGCTAATAATTAAAAAAAGATAATGATCGAACTGGCTGTAAAATGAAAGTGTAAATTTATAATCAATAAAACCAATGGATTGTAATATTTAAATCAAAAAGAAATCGGTTTTACTATAAAAGTCAAAGAAAAAAACCTATATTAAACGATACAGAAGAGATTGTTTGTTACATCAACGTATATACAGAAAATGCGAAAGAAATCTGAGCGACAATTAATTTTAATTTCATATGGGGCTTGGTACGAGGGAGGCATTATTTGGCCTCCAGATATTACTACAAAAATGCCGAGATCAACAAAAAGACGTGTTTCTCTGTTTTATCGACTACGAAAAAGCGTTTGATCGAGTAAAACACACAGAACTCATAGAAACCCTAACACAACATGGTATAGACTATAACATTGTAGCACTTATTAAAAAACTATATTGGGATCAAATGGCCTCGATTAAAATAGACAATCGTATGACAGCTGTGTACTTTCTCCACTATTGTTTAATATATATTCTTCCAAAGATCTTTCGAAATGCCCTCGAAAATGTTTAAGAAGGAATAAAAATCAACGGAGAATATATAAACAACTTAAGATACGCAGACGATACTGTGATTATTGCGGACAGTGCTGACAGTTTGCAACGACTTCTGAATGCCATAACCAGAGAGGGCAATAGCTTGGGGCTGAATATAAACACAAATAAAACAAAAGTAATGGCCGTTACACTTGCACCAAATACCGACATTAATATTCGTATCTACAACAAACAGATAGAACCCGTACAAACATTCCTAATAAATTCTACCTTATCGTTGGATATTCGATACAAATTTGTAAAAACATTCATTTATTCCATATTGCTATACGGAGTGGAAACTAGACTCTCGGAATCACAAGTATGAGACGTGTAGAAGGCTTTGAAATCTGCGTTTTTCGAAGGATGCTGAAGATCTCTTGGACAGAGCACGTGACCAACAACGAGGTGCTGAGAAGAATGGGGACTGTGAGAGAACTCTAAATATTGTAAAAACCAGAAAAACCAGTTATCTAGGACATATTTACAGAGGAGAAAAATATAATTTCTTATGACTGATACTGGAAGAGAAAGTGGAAGGAAGAAGAAAGTGCTCCTGACTAAAAAATGTAAAAGACTGGACAAGCATGGACACACATTCAATACTAAGGAAAGCTCAAGATAGAGAGCAATTTGCTGTAGTTATAGCCAACTTTCAGTAATGGAAAGGGCACCGTAAGAAGAAGATAACTTATTACCAAGTGCAACGAAAATCAGAAAAAATGTTTCTCTCATTTGCAATACGTAACAGTGGACGAAAAGTGGGAGGCTTTTAGAGGACGGTGCTCGGTCCACCACTACATACCAAGCAAACCCAATAGATATAGTATAAAAATATTTGCACTGTCTGATGCGAAGTTATTTTATACCAGTAACATAAAAGTATACGTTGACAAAAACCAAGTGGGTGGTCCATACTATCTAGACCAGTGGTCGCCAACCTGTCGATCACGAGCTACCGGTAGCTCGCGGAGGCAATTCTGATAGCTCTCACAACGATTTTAATTTAAAAAATACAAACTGCAAAAATCAGAGATCCTTCCGAAAATTCCGAAAAAATCTAATTGTCATAATATTAAACATAAACAGCGGCAACGTTGCGGTGAGCGATCTGCCCCTGGCGCCGTCAAGCTAGAATCGGCTATTTATAGAACCGACCAGCCGGACCAGCGCGTTAGTGTTCGAGACGTTAGTGTTCGAGAACGATCTGGATTGCTTTGAACGGGATAAATACGCACGGCGCGGCGACATTGCGCTTAGTTTAAAACTGAACGCGTAACCAACGCCCAGTGGTTGGTTTAGTAGAGAACAACAAAAATAATATTATGGCAAGCAGTTGTAAGAAGGTAAAGACATACCACTTTCATTCGGAATGGGAAGAACAATACTTTTTTACAGAAGTTAAAGATAAAAATGTGTCTTTGATATGTAATACTTCGGTCTCCGTTGCTAAAAAAAAGGAAATATTGAGAGACATCATAAAACTGTACATTCTAATTTTGAAAAATCATTTCCACTACATTCTGCCGCTAGAAAGGAGAAACTGAAACAGTTAATTGGACAACAATCAATATTTTTAAGAACAGTCAACAAAAATAAGGCTGCAACTGAAGCATCGTACCGTGCGTCCCAGATAATTGCACAAAAAAAAGAAACCTTATGAAGACAGGGAAATGATAAAACAGGCGTTTTTAGAAGCTGCTGATTCGTTATTTGCCAACTTTAGAAATAAAGACGAGATAGTTTCGGCTATAGAATATATGCAACTTTCTGCAAATACAGTGATGAGACGTGTAGAAGTAATGAGCAATGATATTTTTTTACAGTTAAGAACTGAAATAGATAACTGTGTTTATTTTTCACTTCAACTGGATCAATCAACAGATGTCGTTGACACTGCCCAGATGGCCGTGTTCGTCAGGATGGTTTTTAGTGATTTTACGATTAAAGAAGATCTTTTGAAGTTCATTCCACTGAAAGGTCACACTACTGGCCAGGAGTTGTTTTCTCATTTAAAAAATATTATTTCTTCCGAGAAAATTCCAATATCGAAAATGGTAGGCTTGACAACCGATGGCGCTCCAGCTATGGTGGGTTGTGATAAGGGCTTGGTGACGTTATGTCGTAAAGATGAAACTTTTCCGCAATTTCTCTGTTACCACTGCATTATCCATCAGCAAGCATTATGTGGAAATTTACATTATGTTACAAAGAAGATTACTCAGAACCTTGGCCGATGATTAAGTAGAGGACGGGTGCTGAAACGTTTTAATGATGTCCTATCTGGCATAGTTCAATTTTTCAAACAACGCGATGAACCGACTCCGGAATTCAATCTGGCTTAGAGATTTTGGTTTTCTCGTGGACATTTCAGAGAAATTAAACGAACTTAATTTGCAGCTTCAGGGGAGAGACAAAGAACTAGCGGAAATGGTTTCTGATATAAAAGCATTTATCAAAAAGCTGGAGTTTTGGGAACAAAACCTAATTAACAGCAATTCCAAGCATTTTCCTATTCTTTCAGAAAAAATATCTCAAAATCCATTAGAACCCTATCACAACAAATATCATGTAGAAATAATTTCTACAGTATGAAAATCCTGAATTTTTGAAAAATGTAAGGTTTTCAGACGAAGCACATTTTCATTTTTCAGGACATGTAAATCGTCGCACAAATCGATTTATGGGCTTTGCCACACCAGATGAAGTTCAAGAAGTTCCTTACATAGCGCAAAAGTGAGTGTCTGGTGTGCAGTTTCAGGATACAGAATCATTGGTCCATACTTTATCGAAGAAAATGGTAGGCAAGTCACACTTAATCAACAGAGGTACATACAAATTTCAACACGCTTTATCCTTAATCTACGTCAATTTTGTCGTACGTCGTGCACGTAATTTGGCATTTCGAGACCAATTTTTCCAGCAACTTGCCATACTGCTGTCGCGGTTCGTCAGTTTCTTCAGGGACATTTTCCAAACAAATTCATTTCACGATTTACTGACTTCCCCCATCCTGCACATTCTCCAGACTTAACATCTCCAGACGCATACAAATGGGGCACGGCTAAAACTGCCGTTTTGAAACGGGCACCACAATCCATCAATGATTTAAAGGATGCCGTTAGAGCCTTCTTAGCGAGACAACCTTTATTTCATAACATTACGAGAAATCTGGAATATCGATATGAAGTCTGTCTTGAGAGAGGAGCTCATTTAGAACATATTATAAGTGTCAATAATACAGGGTGAGTCATGAGGAACTTTACATACTTCTACCATATGTAGAGTCCCTCAGCGAGCATATCATGTGGCCACTACAAAATGTCAACTACTCTTCTTTATTAATTAACAGGGTGATTTGTGTAATTGACCATTTATTTCATTTTACTGTAGTGTTTATACGGCTCATTTGATTTTTTAAATTTTTGCATGATAAAGTACACTACTAGCAAGCATTCGACTGGTATTAGCTAAACTAAAAAATTCCAGGACTGGCTTTGGAAAAATTAATTTAGGGATTTGTATTAAATATTACACCCTGTATATAATTTTTTTTAAATGCAATAAGTGATTTTCAAACTACATAAATAGCCAATGAATACGACATATGCGACAATGTTGTCGCACTTTTATTAAATTTTTAGTGAACGATCAAATCTTACCAAAAATAGAACAACCATAATGAAGTATCAAATTGTAAGGTAATTAATTTAAACAAATGTTATAAATTTCAAACATTTTAATTGAAATGATAAACTGAGTCACTGCACAACAAAAAACAGTAACTACTAACAATAACGAAGAACAATTTAAAAAAAAACTAAAAATATGTACATAGTTGTGATAAACCCATAAATTAGAACTGGAAAAGATACAATAATGGTAACAAAATAAAAATAATTCAAAATAGATTTTCGAAATGAAACCCTGCAGCCTGTACACATTTTTGTTGCCGAATTGTTAATTGACGTATTGAATTACGGATACTCTGGGGATCGTTTCTAATAGTATTACAACAATGTATAATTCTATCAATTAATTGTTGTCGGTTATTAATATTCACTGCGTAAACTAGTTACTTCAATCGTCCCCAAATATGGTAATCAACGGGATTTAAATCAGGGGATCTTGAAGGCCACGAAATAGGACCTGCACGTCCTATCCACCTGTTGCCATAAACATTATTGAGATGCTGTCTCACTACCA